CTTCCTTTTGCCGTTCTTCCTCCTTCTCTTCAACGTCAGCCAACTCTTCATCTCACACTGTCTGTAGGTGACCCAACAGGAACTTCACTTAGTCCCCACCTCTATCTCATGTGTGATACAATAAAATGTTTAAAAGCCCAGGTTCAGAGAATCATAGAGGCCTATGCTTCAAGCTCTGATAAATTCCAAACCCATTTCTTCTATATAGTGGACAGAATAATCAGATCTTCCCTGTGGATCTAGACAATGCCTTACAATGAAATAATGCACGAAAACTCTGAGTCCAGCTTTGGCATATAATAAGTACTTGATAAGTGTCTTTTATTAGCACCAACTTCCAAAATTACATCTCGACCTTGAACTACCCCTTAGGAGACAATACACGAGAAAGAATTGGCATGCCAGCAAGCTCTTGCTCAGCACTTACCCTGTGAATCATCACAATAATTATTTTGATCAGAAAGAAGAGCCAGTGATTAAAGGCACACATCCCTGCCCCACAACCGAGTCATTTGACACCAAACTAAAAAGCGCCTGTACAACCAAGACAGCAAATGGGAGAAAACTTTGGCCCACTATTAATGTGATGCCCGATTGGTATCGATCAGCCACACTAGTGGAAATCCATGAACTGTAGACCAATAGCTTTGGAGCCCCCATAGGACTGGACTAGGCCCTTTGGACATGCAAGACAGTTGTTTAGCTTGAACTGTTTGGCGGCCTCCCAAGCAGGGAAATCAGGATCTGTCCCTGGTGCATGGGTGGGCTTTTTGGAGCCCTGTGCCTAGGGTGTGACACCTGCTCAGCTTTGGTGCAGGGTGGAGGGGCTTGGACTTGCTTCAGCTAAGTGTGCCAAGCTCTGACTTCCCATGGGAGACCTTGACTTGGGGGAGGTGGGAATGGGGGGTGGGTTGGTAGGGAGGCTGGGGGCGGGAAGAGGGGGGAATCTGTGGCTGGTATGCAAAGTGAATAGAAAATTTCTTAATAATAATAAAAAAGAATGTTTAAAAAAATCAAAAAACAAAATAAACAAATGAACAACAACAACAAAAAGGTAAAAGGAACTCAAACAAGGCAGAGTTGCTGACCTCACCAACAGCATATAAGCTCTCTCCCTCTCCTGACTCCTCAACAACTCTTTTCCCTCATCTCTTTGATCCCAGCTGGAGTGAGGTAAGATTTCACTGAATCTGGATCTGTGTTTCCTTGACTAGTAATGAACATTTTCCCATACTCATGGAGATATGTAGCTCCTCCTTTAAGAAGTGCATACCAGATCATATATATTTTCTATTGAGTTGTTTGAGTTCCTTTTACCTTAGATACCAACCTGCCGTCACATAACTGTGCCAAAGTTTTCTTCTATTTGTTTTCTTTGTTGTACAGGAGATTTTAATTTGGTGTTAAATTTTTCTCTGTTTTTGCTTTTGTGACATGTAAACTGGGGGCCAAAACATCTTTATCCTAACACATTTCCCTCTGGTAATTTCATATCTTAATTTCAGTCTTTGATGTAATGTGCATTGGCATTTGTATACAGTGAAAGGCAGGAAAGGCTCTTCTTAAGAAAATCATACCTTAAGGGTCTAGTGGATATTTTTCTGGAAAGGGAGGCACTATTCAGCTCACTACCATTCCCCCCTTGCAGAATTGCTTTACTAGCAGGTTCCGGAAGTCTCCTGTTCTGCAGTATTATATGGAGCTCAGGGCCTTCAGGACCTAAGGGTCTGGGAACAATTTATATGGAAAAAGTCTTGGTGGGTCCAGCTGTATAAACTGTTGACTTGACTGATCCACAGTTAAGGGGAAGGATTCTATTGTAAATATGAGAGAGAGGACAGCCAGAGGCATCTGAAAGAGTCCAGAGCAGACAGAGAAAGAAGCAGACTGAATATGACCAGCAGATTGGACCTGAGAGAAGCAGAAACAGAACAGAGAGAGCGAGAGAGAGATCAGAGTTATGAGGAGAATGAGTAGCTGGGGAAGGGGGAAGCTCATGAGCAGGTTGCAGTTTAGGGTAGAGGAGGAGGTGAGAAGTAGAATGCTACCATGGACTTTGAAATGTATAACATATACCTGTGATACTGAAGGAGGCCAGCATGCACTTTGGTATGCTAACAGACACCACAGATACCCGTTTGTCCCTCCTGTCTTTTGGAATTTGGGGACATGGAGTTTTCTTTGGATCTGACACCAGCTCCATTCCAGATGGCTGACATGGCTGCATTTCACAGGGAAGAAAGTAACCACTGATCTCTATCCTGTTGCTGTTTCATGTACAACACAGTGGCCTTTGGAGTATGCCCCATGTGGCCTCGCACATTTTATGAAAGTGTGTGTGTGTGTGTGTGTGTATGGGGGGGGAGGTGTGGTTTGGTATCATACCCCAGTGCTGGTGTTTGCAAAGTGTCTCTTATGTTAGACCATTCCAATTTAAAACAGATTAGCTCTGATAAAACTGACCCAGGCTGGCTTTCTCTGTGATGGCCTCAATTTCAAGCTGATCCATCATGGATGGTTACAGTACAATAGGATTTGGCAGAACAAAGGTAGGAGTTTTGAATTCTTACCTGCAATTACCAGCTGTGGGAGACAGTAACAGAAAAACAAACATCAAGTATAGTCGTAGGGGATGAGAACACACTGACTTTCCTTCTTGCATTTCTTTGTTCCCTGGAATTCAACAACCCATTTTCCCCAAAGAACAAACAAGCTCTCTGATACCAATTGTGCATGCTACAAAACCTTCTCCTTTAGTCTCAAGAGCTAGAAAGCTGGGGAGAAAATACAAGTGATTGATTTCAGAGATTTTTAGGCTGAGTCCTTTAATATTCAGGCCCCCTATCTGTGTTTTCTGTGTACATGCATGTGAATACATAGGTGCAAGTACCTGGGCACTCATGCATGTGGGAATCAAAGCAGGATGGTGGCTGCTATTCTGTTGCCTTCCACCTTATTGCCTTGAGACACGGTCCTTCGCTGGACAGGAAGCCCACTGGTTCTGCCAGGCTGCTTGGTTGGCCAGCTAGCTCTCCGATCTGCCTGACTTTACCCCTCCTCTAATCCTGGGGGTTTCAGTAATTTGGAGATTTGAACTTGGGCCCCCACACTTGCAGAGTGGGTGTTCTTACCCACTCAGCCATCTCACCAGCTCTCACCAACTCTCTGTTGTTGTTTTTTTTTTTAATGTGGTATTTTTATTATAAGATCATATTGTGTTCTTCTTGGACGCTTTTCTCTGTTCTGGCTTCGGCACGGCTGTTACTTTTTAGTCTTCCTCTTGGTCTTTTCTGTTTCTTTGCCTATTTTTTTTTCTTCCACCTCCCCAGCCCACCTCCTAATCCTGATATTCACCAGGATTTCCCTTGTTCTCATGGGATGTATGTTCTGAAGACTTTAACTGCTTGCTGGATACTGATGATTCCCCAAGAGTATGGTATCTCTGGCTGTACTGTTTTTACAAAATTGATTCAGATTCAAATAGATCAGCTGTTTAGTGGCACATAAAAGGTGTGTGTGTCCCACTGGTATAGTAAACACTGTGTCTCTGAGTGTGTCATATAACCTGTCTCCCTCAGGAATCTACCCCTGCCCTTCCCTCTTCAGTCTTTCTCAATAGTTAGGTAGTAGTCTTGTGTCTCCAGTGGGAACTTGGAGTTACTTAAGGCTCTTAAATCTGTAGCCCACATTTAATGCCCATATTTAATTTTCTATCCCCATCAAACATTTTTGTAACCTGTCTCTGCATTTTGCAGTGACATTCTTCTGGCCAAGACATATTAGATGATCAAATCTTTTGACTCCGTAATAACTCATGGTACTATTGTTAGGTATGGGGTTCATCATTGAACAAAACATTACTATGTTATTATTTAAGTTTCATTTTATTAATGCATTATGTGGTAAGTTCCAACAGGTCTAGGGTATAGCTAGCGAAGTAGCTGATAATAAATTCTTAACAAATATTTGTTAACTGAGAGATGGATAGTTTTCCTTGCTGGATAAGAGTTTTGAATGCATGGCCAGGGCTTTTAGAAAAGTCAGAGCCAGGTCTGTCGAGATGACTTATGGGTAAATGTACTTGCCACCAAGCCTGACAACTTGAGTGGATACTCAGAACCAACACGGTAAAAGGAGAGAAATGATTCCCATATGTCATCCTCTGCTATTCACACATACCTGGGTACTCAAGCAAGCAGGTTTGCATGTGTGCATATGTACATACATGCCTCCCCCCACCACATGCACACACACTAAATAAAATGTAATCTTTAAGATGTTTTAGGGGTTAGGCCGGCGGTGGTGGCGCACGCCTTTAATCCCAACACTCGGGAGGCAAAGGTAGGCGGATCTCTGTGAGTTTGAGGCCAGCCTGGGGTACAAAGTGAGTTCCAGGAAAGGCACAAAGCTACACAGAGAAACCCTGTCTCTCGAAAAACCAAAAAAAAAAAAAAAAAAGATATTTTAGGGGTTGGAGTGAAGACACAGTGATTGAGACCACTTGCTGCTCTTGCAGAGGACCCAGGTTTAGTTCCCAGCACCCATATCAGGCAGCTCAAGATTTCCTGGAACTCTAGTTCTAGGGGATCTGATTCCTTCTTCTGGCCTGCATGGGCTCCAGACATAGATGTGGTGCACATACATACATGCAGGCATTCACACATACACATAAGATAAATGTAAATCTCCTTTTAAAAAGTTGTAATAATTTAAAAAAAAAAGAAAGAAAAGAAAACAGAAGTCAAATGCTTATTCTCTGGGTCACCTTTCACCCACCTGCAAAGTACAGATGTTCCATTCCTCTGGGGTCATGCTGGAGAGCAGGTGGGCGTTTGAGTAGAGCCATATCAGAGGAAATCTGCATAAATCACTTATACAAACAGAAAGATGGTGTTACAGAATTAAATAGATGGTTCTGGCTTAGCAGGTGGCTTGGGATAGCAGGTACCTTTCATTCTCCCACAGGAAGTCTAACTGTTTTCCTCTCTTTACCTCCCCAGCATTAGCCACAAGGGAACCTCAGGAGAGAAAGGTTGCATCCAACCAGGTAAAAGATCTAGGAAGTATTGGAAGCACTTGCCTTTGATTTTAGAAATTCCCGGTACAGGTTTTCATGGATGGGCTTGGGGAAATAGAATATTGTTAAATGGCACATGCATAGTAACTATTATGAAGTGGTCAAAGATTTGTGAACTTGTACACATGGCAGAAGAACTATCGATCGTTACTTCAACATGCACAGATGCTCTGAAAGCAAAAAGAAAAAAATATTTACGAAAACATGCAAAATCATTAAGTGTCCCTTGTGTGACGCCCAGTGTTATTGATGTGACCACCGTGTCAACACCTGCTCTCACCGTGGCTCTGCGTTTTTTGAGGTTTCCTTTTATGTATGTTTATTGCAAAAATGATTGAAGCAGCTTCATGTAAAAACATTAGGCCTCACAGATATCTGTGAAGGCAGTCTTTCCTGGGAGACAGTCATGTCTCTGTTTCTGTTTCTGGCTGGCTCTGGGCTTCTGTGTGCTAGAGAATGAGACAGGAAGGGAGGAAGGAAACACTTTAGCCTGCCCAAGGGAAGTGGGAGTGTCCTCCTAAGATGACTGAGTGCCTGGCTGAGTGCAACAGCCCTTTACGTTCCTCAAAGTTAGCAGTGAGATATTTTTAAAAAGATGTATTCATTTTAAAACCAAAGACAGCAGGCTCACTGCATGGCCACACAAGCAGCATATGTTTTTATAAAAACTAACAATATCTTTCCAAATGAAAATGAAATTAGTGGGGAAAGTGGTACCCACACTTTGGCAAATCTCATTTGTATGGCTTAATTGTAGTGTTTAGTTACTGTGGTGCTTGACGTTAACTGTCAACTTGACAGAATTCGTAATTGCCTGTGAGACAGGTCTCTAGATGTGCCTGTCAGGGATTATATCGATGATATCAACTGAGGTAGGGAGACTCGCCCACTGTGGGTGGTGTCCTGGCTGTGTTAGCGGAGAAGGGGAGCAGAGCGGTGGCATGCATTCAATGCTCCCTGCTTCCAGGGTGTGGATGTGATGGGACCAGCTTCTTCAAGCTTCTGCCACCTTGATTTCCCTGCCATGGTGGACAGACAATACACTGGAACTGTGAGCCAAGAAATCCTTTTTCCCTTAAGCTGCTTCTTAACGATTTTTTATTACAGGACCAGGAAAAGAAATTGAGACAGTTAGCTTTGTTGTTGTTGCCTTGCTAGAATGCCAAATAGAAACAACTTAGAGAATGAAAAAGTTACTCTGCTCAGGGTTTAGGTGTTTCCTTTCATCATGGCATAGAGAACATGGTGGAACTGAACAGCTCACATCATGGCAGCCAAAGAGCAGGGGAAAAACAAGAGAGAAAGAAGGAAAGGGAAAGGGAGAAAGAGAGGGAGAAGAGAGGGTGTCTGTGTTCTTGGCTTTTCCCCCCTTCCATTTTATCTAGCTCCCCAGTCTACGGGCTGGTGCAGTCCACAGTCAGGGCAGGTGTGCCCAGCTTGGTTAATCCTGTTTGGAAACATTCTCATGATACACCCAGAGCTGTGCTTCTCAAATCTCCTAGGTGCCCTTCACTGCAATGAAGTTCTAAAAATTAACCATCACAAGGAGACAGGGATAGGTCTCATGTCCACGCTCATGCTCTGTGGGATGAGTAATGAGTGAGGCTATCTGGTGACATCACATATCTGTCTCTCTTGGGAAATCGGACTGCGGTATTTATGAGAGAACAATGTTGGAAAGGGCCAATCAAGTCTCCTGGAAACATTTTGATGGGCTAGGCTCCCAGGCTATGCCTTCAGAACCACCCTGACAGAAAATTTGAAATTGAGCTTTATCTTCCCTTCTATTTTGCTATCTAGAAGCTGAAGTCAGCAATGAAAGAAATACATAGGTCTAGGGAGAGCTCAAAGGCTTAAGGCAGTGCCCAGCAAAGAGATTTGACAGTGGAAACATAGTTATTATATTTTTAATCTCTTGATGTCTGAGCACAATAGCCAAAGATACCTGATCTCTAAGACGGGGACAAATATGGGAATAAAAATGCTTTGGGTATTTAGTGGGAAAGTTACACTTGATTTAGAACTTTTAGTTTGTTTTGACTTAGAGACATATCAGAAAGAATATCATGAGATGTAATGACATCGTTGGTAACTAGAAGTCATCCTTGGGGTGAGATGCATTCCAGGGTACCCTTCAGAGATGATGGCATTCAGCCTATCACCTTGCCTGTATTTTGGCAGAGCAACAGACAGACCAACATCTTGATCATTGCTTGCTGCGTGGGGTTTGTGCTGATGGTGTCAATATTTCTGGCATTTCTCCTTCGAGGTAAGGTGGGCAGGGCCAGATGTAATGGACTTGCAGGACTGGATGTTTGTGGGTGGATCAAAGAGCTGTGGGGACTCAGGAGTGTCAATGAAAGGGGGAAAATTCTGTTTTCTCTTCTTTCCTTTTATCCCAAAAAGGACCAGTTCCCTCACTGTCCTCACCCCAGCCATGGGGGTGACAGGTGAATTCATCACCACCAAATGGCTTTCTTTGTAAAGAAAAGCCTGATAATGCTGACACTTTGATAATTAAAAAATGGAACCAAGAGCACTTTCACTGATAGGACATAGATGCCATACATAAGTTTGCCTAATGTGTTCTCTTTGTTACTGCTTTATATAGAAAGGACTGTTGTTACTCTCCTCTCTCTCTCTCTCTCTCTCTCTCTCTCTCTCTCTCTCTCTCTCTCTCTCTCTCTCTGAGTTTTTTGTAGCCCTCACTCTATAGACCAGGCTAGCCTCCAACTCAGAGATCCGCCTGCCTTTTCTCAAGTGCTAGAATTAAAGGCATGTGCCACCACTGCCCAGGTATTCTCTTTATAAAATCAATATTTATTTATTTTTGTGTGTGTGTGGGGGGGTGTTTTGCCTACATATATGTCTGTATACCAAATGTTTGCCTGGTGCTCACGGAAACCAGAAGAAGGCATCAGATCCTTTGGGACTAGAGTTACAGACAATTGTGAACTGCCATGTCAGTGCTGGGAATTGAACCTGGGTCCTTTGGAAGAATATCCTGTGCTCCTAATCACTGACCCATCTTTCCAGCCCTGATACTCCTTTCTTATAGTTCGAAACACCCTTGAACCCCTGTCATATATTTTCAAGGAGTGTCACAGGAGTAAAACTGTGAACAGTCTTGCTCTATGTGCACCTTTAGAGCAGGCTTGCTTAGGGACCACAAGTGGCCTTCAGGAGACAGAATTCTCAGAAATTGTTTGTCAATACGTTCATGTTTCCATGCCTACACTTTTCAGGGGATAGGGCCCAAAGTTTTCTTAAAATTCTGAAGCTGGCCTGTGATTTTACACCTTCCCCACCTTAAAAGCAAAATTATAAATCCTGCAAAAAGGAGCTATGAAATAAGCATTATGGTTTTCATATAAAGCACAGGCACACAGCACCCACTACTCTTATAAAACAGGAAAACTGGTACTTCACAGCAGTCAGCCGTGAGATAAGATTATTCACAATTGAATCTGCCCTTGGAGAGTGCTGCAAAAACTATCCAGAACTTCCTGGAGGCTTGCTATTAGTACTTATATGAAGTCATAGCTGCTGTTTTGGATGATTCTTGGTATATCTCATAAAAAGTGCTTTAAAACCCAAATGAGGTGCTGGGGAGGTAGGTTAATCAGTAAAGTTTTTGCCACTCAAGCATGAGGACCTGAGTTTGATACTCAGAATCCATGCAAAAAGGCCAAACATTGTGGCATTTGTTTGTAATCCCAGTGCTGGGAAGGCTAACACAGGTGGATCTCTGAGGGTCTCTAGCCAGCCAGCCTAGCTCATCAGCAACTCTAGGCCAGTAACAGACTCTTTCTTATAGAACAAGGTAGGCAGTGCCTGAGGAATAAAACTCAAAATTGACATCTGGTTTCCACATGCATGTACATAGATGTGCACAGATGCCCACATACACATATAAGCCTACACATGTATGAATATCCACAGACATGTATGCACACACACAAAGTTAGATGAGCCCTTGTTATGCTACTAAATAACTGAAAAGTGCAATAGCTTACACCCTTTGAGCAGAACATTGTTCAACCCTCATCAGAGAGGCTCCTTCTTGCAGTAGATGGCAAATAACAAAGAAATCCTCAACTGGACAATGTGCAGAGAGTGACAGACTTTGGAACACTCAGCCCCAAATAAGATGTCTTTATCAAACCCCTCCTCTCAAGGCTCAGGGTTCTATTTGGAAGAGTAGGCAGGAAGATTCCAAGAGCTAGAGATGGTGGATGACTCCAAGTAAACAGTATATTCCGGACACAACAGGCCTGATGCACATATGAAATCACAGGGACTGTGACAGCCTGCACAGAGCCTGCACATGGCATACACAGGCCCTTTACAGATTCAAGCTGGACAAAAATCCCAGCCCTGAGAAGGGAAGTAGACACAGAATCCCAGTCCTAAACCAGAAGCTATTTGCAATTGGTACCTCCTGGGAAAATCAGTTTTCTCCAATGGAGTGTCACTGGATATATCAACCACAGTCTAAGACAGGTTCCATGCCCAGGAATAGCTGGCCAACACAAAATGAATTCCATGATTTTTTCTTTCTTTTTTTTTTTTTTTTTTTGTGTGTGTACTTTGCTTTGTTTTGTTTTATTTTTTTTGTCTTATTGCTTATTGACTTTCTTTCTTTTAGTGTGTTTATTTTGATTTTCATTTTTGTTGTTGTTTTCCAGGGTTTCTTTATGTTTTGAGAGAGAGGGAGAGAGGGAGGGAGGAAGAGAAAGAGGGGTACGGAGAAAGAGAGGGAGGGAGAGAACAAGAATATGAAGTTGGGTGGGTAGGGAGGTGGGGAGGAACTAGGAGGAGTTGGGGAAGGGAAAGAAAAATGACCAAAATACGTTTTATAAAAAAACATTTTAAAATAAAAATTTAACAACACCATCATCAACCCGGGGAAGGAGAAGCTGTCCTCGCCAATGCCAATCTAGTCTATTTGGAAGGGGGTGGACTTTTCCCAGCAGTTCACAGAGCTCTGCTCACATGGTGGCCTTGTTTTTTCAGGGAGAGTCACAGCAGCCAATTGTTTGAAGAGACACAAGAGGTAATTCATCTTGCATGGCCGATTGTTGCGATGATTATACAGGCTGCTGCACATGATTAGATGCTACTCAGTGGTTTAATGACTTGTGCTTATGTTCTGATGAAACACAGGGTTAGAGAGACATTGCATTAGAGGCCGAAAAGGCTGTGGAGTCTTAACTCACATTAACCTCTGTCTCAGTTAACATTACATGTGTGTCCAAAATAGGACCAAGAAAAGCAGGGAACATTATTGGAAGTACAGCATGAGAAAGAGGACGTGTGCCACAGTGTCCTCTGCGTGAAGCTATTGTAGCAACGAGTGACTCATTTCAAAAGCACATTGTTTGTATGGAGTCACTGAGAAGAGGGTTAGCAATATGGAAATTAGATAAGGTATTTGCAACATTCTTCCTGCGATTTGGTTCCTTTGCCCCATAGACCAGCATGTTTCACTGCTTGCTTTTATTTTTTTAAGAGTATATAAAGAGTCTCTGGGATTAGATTTTGAATATCTGTTCTGTTTATAGCTTTTAGGGTGCAATAAATGAAAAGATTTGGTATAAATCATTGCAATAATTAATTGTATCAGCACCACAGCATTTATTAACAATGATGCATTATTAGGCAGGGGATCAGAGGCCCTGCAAGGTGACTTTCTGAGTTCAAAGCTTGGGGTCCCTTGAGACATCAATGCATTTAGATCATGATTTTATACTTTTCAAACCAAGTTGTTTTCTCTTTATTGTAACAGGTTGGCCAAAGTCCTCTGTGCTCTATGGCCTCAGTTTTCCCACCTGTAAAATAGGAGGCTTGGGCAGGATAGAATCTGAGTCTGGTGTCCTCAGCCTGGGTTAGCAGGTCCTTTGATCTTGCTTTTTCTGGTTTTTAATCAGCCTTTTCCTCTCTTCACAGGCCAGACAACATTGAAGATCGTAAAAGTGTCCTCAATGACATGTCACATGCACAGGATGATGAGGACGGAATCTTTACTCTCTAACTTGTCACCTTTTCTTAGAAGCATGGGGGATGAAGTCTGAATTATGCAATTATAAGTTTGGGGACATTGCAATTTTCTTTTAAGGTCTCACTTTTTTTTCACTGATGCTACGGATCCGGTCTCATTTTTTCTTCCCGCATGAAGGTGCTTCGGAGACACTTCCTCCTGCCTAGTGCTTTAGTCCTCTGTAGTTTTGTGGCCAGGTGATCTTTCTCCACTGGGCTTGTTGCTGTCAGTGACAGTGAACTCATTGCCACAGCCGTGGGAGTCCCTTCAATCTCTCAACAGTAGGGGGAGCTAGAAATACCCAAAGCAAAAAATCCTTCTGCAAATAGCATAGCCTCTTGGTGGTAGCTGACCTCCATCAACACAGTGCTCATTTAATCTGTCTGGCTTCTTCCAGGTATCAAGTTACCTTTCTTCTGAGACACAAGTTCTGGTCCATTTCCTACCTCATGTGCCTGTGTCTCCCTTTTTCTGCCAGCTTTCTAAGTTCAGTGCCCACATTGGGTGTAGTGTGAGCAGCCCAATGCTTCATTCGGGGTACAGGTAATACCACAGAATCACATCAAAAGTTTGACTCGCTTCTAAAACTCCTGTTTTTTTTTATGATATGAATTTCTTTTCATATTCAAGTGCTTTAAAACTGACCATAGTGCCACTTGTACTCTTGCCAGAGAAACTGGACTTTGGAAGCAGCCCAGTGCCCATCAGAGCAAGGGTATCAAATGACAAGGATTATGCGCAGATGAAACACTGAAGCCATCCAAGTAAATTCCTCTAAGTATAATTTATTATAATTGCAGCCCAGGAAGAACAGATTTATCTTAAAACTTTAATAATTACTAGTATGGGGAACCCTGAGAGAGAAATAAAAGCAAATAGCTGTTGAATCAATGAATGTAAGAAAACATATGTCTGAGTGAGGATGCTTCTGGCTGGCAACTATGGAAAGCTAGCTAGATCTGAAAGACATTTCTCAGACTTCCTTCATGCTCAGAGCTGCAATATCATTAAAGGAATAAGCCCCTGGTCCTCTATCCAATCCACCTTTGTATTTTTACTCCCTTAACATTACTTTTAAGAGTCTAACAGAAATTGTGAGAAGGATCAGCTGGGAAAGGAGCTTGCTGCCAAGTTTGATCTCTAGGACCCATATGGTGGAAGGAGAGGGCCTATTCTTGTAAGTTGTCTTCTGATGTCCACACCCTTGCCACAGCATGCACCTCCCCATATTATGCACATGCCCATACACACAAATTATAAAATAAAACACACACACACACACACACACACACACACACACACACACACACACACACCAGACAAAATTAGTTCTCACGGTGCAGCCTATAGCTCCATCACTCTATAACTTAGTTGACATGGCATGATCCAATTGGGAAGAACCCATGCCCAACCCTCTCGTTGGGACATTTATTTACCCTAGCTCACCCTGTTGCATGGAGCAAAAGAGATGGGAACCATTAGCCACAGAGTCATGCTATTTCTGTTTCTTTTTACTCATCTTGAGGCTAGCTTAAGCTGCTGAAGTCTGTCATTTAGAAACTAAGGTATGAAATAGGTCTAAAGTCAAGTTTAGGGTCTCAGTGTTGTCACATGGAAAGAATAGAGGTGATCAGTTTTAACCGTGTGTGATTCAGTGGTATCCCTCCTTCCACCTCAGCTCTGGCTCCCATTCCCTATCCATCTTTTAAAACCACTCCCACCGTCAATCTTTAACTTAAGTCTAACTAGAAAGAAGACAGGAGGGAGTGCCAAAAGAGCATTTAACTCTGCCCAATGCCTATTGTCAATCGTTCCCCAATAGTGGTCTTGAGATTCCTAGGTCAGACTGAGCCACGTTTCCATGTACACCCATTACACTTTAGATGTAGTAATGGCCTCTGAGAGTCTCGATCCTAGTAATCCCCAACCTCAGGAGAATCTTGCAGTCAAGAGAAGAGTTTTTCAAATGGGAAGCTCTGAGTCCAGGTTCTGAAGAGATTCTTTTGTGGTTAGTCCAGGGTGTGAGTTGAGCATCTGAATATTTTTTTAAGGACCCAAAGAAATTCTAATATGCATCCAGTACTGTTAACAGAATTTGGGGGGTGATCCCCCAGAGTTGTCACATGTTATTGGGGAAATTGGGGTCTTAGAGTTCTTAGTCTAGTTAATAAAAGAATTTAAGAATGGACTCAAAAGGAAGCTTGAGGACAATTTTACTATATATGAAAAACTCACTAAATGTGGTGGCGCATGCCTTTAATCCCCAGCCCTGGAGAGGCAGAGACCGGTGGATCTCTGTGAGTTCAAGGCCCACCTGGTCTACATAGTGAGTTTTAGGACAGCCAGGGCTACACAGAGAAACTTGTCTTGAAACAAACAAGCAAACAAACAAACAAATAAACAAGCTCTCAAGCCCTAAGGTAGAAAAGCTGTAGGTCTCCATGGCCACCTGGAAGAAGGACGCAGAGAGGATGAAGAGACAAGGAAGATGAAAAGCCTTTGATTTAGGCCAGCGTGCAGACTAGTCACATAATGGATGGATATCCACATAACAGACGGACGACCTCATAGGGGATGCACTTTAAAGAAAGAAGCCTAAAGTGATAGGGACATGGTGCTTAGGACAGAGATAGAAAGAAGCAAAGGGAAAGCTATGATTTTTGAGTAATTCAGAGAAGTGGGCAGACTTAGGGAGCTGCCTGGTTGCATCTCTGCAAATGAGGCAGAGGAATTCTGGGAAGGAAAAGAAAAATATCTTTAAAGGGATCACTTTTCCTCCCTTCTCATTAGCATGGCTTACTGTGAACCTGCCTTCCTAAAGGGTGGTCTCTTGGGCAGATGATTGACTAGTCCCACAGGATTCACTCTCCAGGGAGCAGAGGTGTGTCTCCACCAGTACTGAATTACATTCTTTAAGGTCAGAGCACTGCCCTCCACTGTGCCAGCCAGGCTGTTTTTAAGCTGTGTGCTTTGACCCAGCAGCCACCACGCTGTCCGAGCTTGTTAGGAATATGAATTCTTGCCCTCATCCTGTACCTGCTGAACCAGAAACTTCCGGGAGAGCCTGAAGACCTGGGGTTTAGCAAGCTCTTACAGAGTAATAGCTCCAAACAGGTGGGGTCTCCCTTTCTCAGACTATGTGTTGGCAACCCAGAATGAACAAAGGGTCGTGGGCTTCCTCAATCAGGAGGCAGGAGTACTGTAGATTCAACTCTCAGATGATCTGCCTGACTTTTGAAGTGTCTTCCTACCAGAAACCAACAGCTACACTCTTTTCCCTGCTAATGTTTTCTCCATGTACCGCCAGGGATGTTTCTCCTTAGCACAAGCCAGAGAGTCCTGGTTCCTGACTTTCAGCTCTTAAACCCACAGAGAAGTTCTTCCTAGGGCAGATAATAAACTGATGACTTCAGCAGCCAGGCAGTCAATGCAGAGAGTAGAGGAATTGAAGGCGACTGTGGACAATGAGACTGTGCATATGTCTAATTAAAGACATTGCTGGGCAGTGGTGGTGCATGCCTTTAATCCCAGCACTTGGGAGGCAGAGGCAGGTGGATCTCAGCGAGTTCGAGGCCAGCCTGGTCTACAGAACAAGATCCAGGACAGGCACCAAAACTACACAGAGAAACCCTGTCTCAAAAAACAAAAACAAAACAAAACGAAACAAAACAACAACAACAAAAGACATAAAAATTCAGTTGGTTTAACTATGCCCCATGCAAGCAAACATATGGCTGTGAGTTAGGACAAGGAGACCAGCTTTAGACTAGATTTATAAAATGATGAGCTAATTTAAAAACAAACTGTGGATGTAGCTCAGTGGTAGAGCATTTGACTAGCATGGGCAAGGCCCTGGATTCCGTATCCAGCACCCTTAAGCATACTAAGACTCCTTGACTAGAGGTGTGTTTTGGTATAGCTGTTTATTTCATTCTCTTTGTGTAGTCAGGATGAACTGGTAGCTTGTGCAAACAACTTTCTAGTATCCATTTTGTGCTAGAATAGAGGACAGAGAGAGTGTGTGTGGGGGTTGTTATTAAGGAGTTTAAAGTCTAAATGAGACAAAACACACCTAGTAAAAGTGATGGACTGGAATCCTGTTGTTTCCCATTTCCACAAGGAAAGACTTTGATGCACAGTGGCTCTTACAATTGGTGTGTATAGAGGAAGGCCACAATCTAATCCTGAGGGTTTACTTTTCAACCCTGGCCTTGGAATAAGAAGGCAACACAATCATCAGAGGTCTAAATTACATTTTGGGCACTTAACAAAGAGTTTCAAGACAAGCATCGAATCTGGAAGTAGTTCATCAAAGCTGGCTTGTTACCCCTTATTCGGAGCTCAGAACACTGAAGCATAGACACAAAAGAACTCACTCAAGGTCATGTAGTTCAACCTCCTGCAGCAGAGCCAGGCCTTGAACCAAGCTTGAAGGACCCCCATCCTCTTTTTGTTTTGCTTTGCTTTTTCGAGATAGATTCTAGTGTGTCCCATGCTGGCTTTGAACTTGCTATGTCGCTGAAGATGACTTTGAAGTCCTGATTTTCCTGCCTCCATTTCCTAAGTGTTGGGGGTTATCTGATGCTCTAGCCTCTACCCTGAGCTTTCCAGTGAGGACTTTAGTTCATGACTTCATGCACTGCGTCTCCAGCCTTGACCTTCATTGGGCCCGAATGGACTTCAGTTTACTGGGATCACTGGCAATTTGAATGTATTGACTGTTCACTCACTGCACCCCCTTTGCAGCTCAGTCTTCCTTGTCCCCCATGTTATTGACTCAGAACCCAATTTGCATTTGCAGAGAAAGCAGCAGTGGAGAACCTGGCAGGAGCCTTAATGAAGCCAGGTGGGACACATTTAAACGGGAATGTGAGGAAGTAACTCACAAAGAGCCAAAGCCAGCTGTCAGCAGGCTTAATGAAAGGTTAACAGGAATTCTGCAATGGCTGGCTGGGGAGACTCTTTGTCTCTCTAAAGAAAACAGAAAGCTGAGAAGTGGGCTCCCTGGGTGGACACAAGAGCAGAAGGAGGAAGCCACTTGAAACCACAGGACGGAATCTGTAAACAGATTTTCATTTAGCTTGGTAAACCCGCCACAGTCTTTAAAGGGAAAAAGAAAATGCTTTGAGTTCTTGTTGCTCTGAGCATCAGAGGACAGCAGGGGGAAGTGTTCCCCAATAAAAGGAATGCTAGTGCTGTACTGAAGCACTAGCTTGGGGAGCCCGGAGATGATTACTGGAGATGATTACTCCGTGGAACAGAAGGTTGGTGGGAGCAAAAAGACTCTGTTCTGAACTGGTGCACAGTCTCCATATTGGAAGTGGACTAGCTGGGTCAGAGGCCCTTACACTGTTTTCATCTCAAATAGTCAGCTGGAGAAACTGAGGCCAACAAAGGAGGCAATGAGTTGTTCTGGGCCAGACAATAAGCAGACTTAAAACTATGTCCCTTAAACGTTAGTCTAGAA